CCCACCTTTTCCAGTTGGGTGGGTCGGGGAACACTGAAACAACACGTGTGGAACCCGTACCCCCCCAAGCCGAAATTCGGGTCTTCGGGTTGGGTTGGGGTGGTCTGGTGGGTAGTCCACAAGGGGTCGTGGCCTTGGGGGCGCGATTGTTGTGCAATTTGCGAGAAGCCGTGGCCTCGGGGACGCAGCTGTGTATCAGTTCATGATGGTTCGTGGCCTTGAGGACGCCAATGTTTCACCACCCACCAAGCCACCCCAACCCAACCCGAGGACCCCACTTTTCCCCTCCATTCCCAGTGCGGGGGGGTCGGGGAACGTTGAAAACACACGTGTGGAACCCGTACCCCCCTCAACCCGACATGCGGGTCTTCGGGTTAGGTTGGGGTGGTCTGGTAGGTAGTCACTGTTGTGCAATATATGAGGGATTATGGTTCCGGGGACGTGAGTGTTGCATATTTTTCGGAATGTTACAGGGGATCGCGGCCTCGGTGACGCGAATCTCGGATACATCACGCGGGATCGTGGCCTCGGAGGCACACAAGGAATCGTTGCCTCGGAGATATGTATTCACATATATGTGTACATACTTATGTATGTATGTATGTATGTATGTATGTATGTATGTATGTATGTAAGTATGTATGTATGTATGTATGTATGTATGTATGTATGTATGTATGTATGTATGTATGTATGTATGTATGTATGTATGTATGTATGTGTATATTTATATATACATATATATATATATATCAATAAACAAACCTCGGGGGTGCGAAGCTAATGTATTTTCACGTGTCCCAGGGCCCCAAGACAATTCTGATAACCCCCCATGGGATGGTAACAGGGTCCTCTTGGGCCCCCCCTCGGCCGACTTCAACATTTTACAGTACGAAGTAGAAAGTAGGACTACAGCATGGGAGACTCGAAACTGGAACTGGAGCAGGGAGCGGCGAGGGGGGCAAGGATGGGGTTGGGGTGGGGGTGCTCTTTTGCTCTCCCACTCCCTTCCCTGCCGTCGAGATGAGATGAAAGATGCAATGCAAGGGAGAGACTTGGGCCCTCCATGCTTTTTCATGGTAACCCTTTGCGTTGATACGGCGTGCGGAAGGACCAAGGAACCGATTGGTTGACACCGCGAAGACATTCACATGATGAGCCTGGAGGATGGGAGCCGAGGCTCCGTCGCGCGTCTCGCTTAGGGACGGCCTCTGGACCGATGGGCGAGACCCCTTCCCCGGGACTAGTTGTTCATCTCATCTTGAGTCGTTGTTTCACGGTCCCGAGGTGAGGTAGGGGTCTGTGGAGGCCCAGAACCATCATAATCGCCCAGCGTGATGTCTCTCGACGCGCAACGGGGGTCTGTGTCCTCCCCGCGCGCCGCCGCGACAGGAGCCCCCCGCGGAGCCATCCCAGATTGGGCCCGAACTGGGACTCGGTCCGATCCCCCCTGCGCCCACTCCAGTCCCTGGTGGTTCTCGGGCCGTACAGTGGAGACCCATGCTAAGAAACGCCCTGCTTGCCTCCAGGGTGCTCTGGGTTCCTTGGGTTTCGATGGTTCTGCTGGGGAGAGCGTGGCGTTCCCATACCAAAAGTCAATGGACGTCGTGGGATCTGGGGGTTGGGTTTCTTGTGGAAGGTTTCTTGTGTATTGGCCTCCACTGAAGCTCGAGCCTCTGGGACGATCCGACCACCCGCAGAACTCTGGCGGCGAGGCGCACCTGGTGGACAGAATCTCGAGGCTGGAAAGCCGCCGAGATGCGGCGACGAAGCCCGGAAGTCTCGAACCTCGAACCCTAATGTGCCCGGATTGTGGTGTTCTCCTAACCCGCGAGGGGGTCTGGGTCCTTCTTTCCCGCGCGCCGACGCGACTGGACCCCCCCGCGGAGACATCCCGGACCAGGCCTGAATTGGGACTCGATTTATGATGTTCCAACCCTTTCTAGCCTTGACCACCTGATAGAATTTCAAGCACTAGGAACATACCGAAGCTGACGGTTTTTACGTATCTGGCCCCGGGATGCGATATTCGTTCTGCATTTCGCCAGCGTGTCGGGCAGACATTGTTTCGATACTCTTCGGGGTGCTCGAAATGATTGCTGGAATGTGGTCCTTAAGTTCGGTGTGAACAACATGAGGCTCGATGCGCTCCCGCCCGCGCCCATCCTCCCCCCATCGTTGCCCCTCACACCTCCTGCGCGTCTTCTGGGCCCCCAGATATCGGGTGGCCCAGGCCTCTGTGTCACCCGAAGCCAACGCCTGAGGAAGAGCACGACTTGCCCCGCCCCTCCGCGCGATCCCAACCAGCTCAGCCCCGAAACTGCGCCACGGACGCCTAAGGACATACCAGTATTGTGTGCCTCTGTTGGAGATGCATGTCCGACCCGAACACAGAGTACTGTGGGAGCTCGACCGCAAGAAACCTGCGAGTTTCAGGTGAGGACGAGAGAGGGGGGGGCAAGCATGATGGGCCCACTGTCCACCACCACCACCATATGCAGGAGAGGGAGGAGGAGGAGGAGGAGGAGGAGGAGAGGAGGAGGAGGAGGAGGAGGAGGAGGAGGAGGAGGAGGAGGAGGAGGAGGAGGAGGAGGAGGAGGAGGAGGAGGAGGAGGGAGGAGGGAGGAGAGAGGAGGAGGAGGAGGAGGAGGAGGAGGAGGAGGAGGAGGAGGAGGAGGAGGAGGAGGAGGAGGAGGAGGAGGAGGAGGAGGAGGAGGAGGGAGGACCCCCTCCCCCTCCAGCTGATGGTGGTGGTGGTGGAAGACAGACCTCTCAAAGCAAGCGCAAGGGCGGTGACCTCTACGAGGTGTGCGGCGACCACGCCAGGGCGACGCGCACGCTCGGAAGTCTTACAGGGCGAGCCCCGTGGCGGGCGCTCTCTGGCCGGAAAGCTCGGGAAACGCTGTGCTGCACGATGCTGTGCAACGTGTTCGGGTCGGGCGTCTGTTCCCAGCAGGGATGCATCGTACCGGCACGTCCTTGTTGTCGTTGTTGCTGCTGCTGATGATGATGATGAGATGCTGCTGATGATGATGATGATGATGATGATGATGATGATGATGATGATGATGAGTAGGATGATGATGATGATGATGATGATGATGATGATGATGCTGATGATGATGATGATGTTGATGATGATGATGATGAGTAGGATGATGATGATGATGATGATGATGATGATGAGTAGGCTGATGATGGTGATGGTGATGGTGATGGTGATGATGATGATGATGATGATGATGATGATGCTGCTGCTGATGATGATGATGATGATGATGATGATGATGATGATGATGACGCCGCCGACGACGACGACGATTGTGATGACAACGACGACGATGACGACGACTATGCTGATGGTGATGATGATGATGAGGAGGAGGAGGAGGACGAGTGTAAAACCAAGAGTCATGGTGATGGTGATGGTGATGATGATGATGATGATGCTGATGATGATGATGATGATGATGATGATGATGATGATGATGATGATGACGCCGCCGCCGACGACGACGACGACGATTGTGATGACAATGACGACGATGACGACGATTATGCTGATGGTGATGATGATGATGAGGAGGAGGAGGAGGAGGACCAGTGTAAAACCAAGAGTCCTCAACGCTGTTGGAATTGACCCTCCCTCCAAGCTTCCTCTTCAGAGGCCCCCACAACGGCTTATTTCCACTGATGGAACTGCCTCCTCGGACGACAACCGTTTGAAGATCGTGAAGCATGCCAAAACATTGTTCTCGGGATTTCAAAGCCACGTATCAACCTGACTGCTGCGTCTTGACGATCCGGAGTCGTGCCAGGGCGCCGTTTTTGGGATTTCAACACTGCGAATCAACATACTCGTTGCACCCGCATAATCCTGAATCCTTCCATAATGAGAATTCTGGTACGTTGATCCTGGGACTCCGTGAAACTCTTGTAAATGTTTAAAACAAATGTGCGCGGCGCTAAGGCGAGAGCCACATGTTGAAAAGGAATCGCCCTCAATCCGTGAAGCTCATGCACATTTTCAAAGCGAGTGTGCGCGGCGCTAAGGGGAGAGCCACATTTTGAAAAGGAACTGCCCTCAATCCGTGAAGCTCTTGCACATTTTTAAGGCGAATGTGCGCGGCGCTAAGGCGAGAGCGAAATTCTACAAAGGAGCCGCCCTCAATCCGTGAAACTCTTGCAACTTTTTAACAACGAATGTGCGCGGCGCGAAGGAGAGAGCCATATTTTGAAACGGCCCGCCTTCAATCCGTGAAACTCTTGCATTTTTTTCTCAAGCGAGTGTGCGCGGCGCTAAGGCGAGGGCCACATTTTGATAACGACGTGCCCTCAATCCGTGAAGCTCTTGCACATGTTTAAAGCGAATGTGAAGCCGCTGTCACTTTTAAAGCTTCAGGGTCACAAATGGTGAGGAAGTCTCAGGCGAAACGCCTGGCCCGCCCTAACAACTGGCCTCGGGGTGCGACAGGAAGGAGTTATCTATAAGGAGAAGGAGTGGAGGAGGAGGGGGCGAGGAGGAGGAGGAGGAGGAGGAGGAGGAGGAGGAGAAGGTAGAGGAGGAGGAGGAGGAGGAGGAGGACGAGGACGAGGAGGGAGGAGGAGGAGGAGGGAGGAGGAGGAGGAGGGAGGAGGAGGGACGAGGAGGAGGGAGGAGGAGGGACGAGGAGGAGGAGGAGGAGGAGGAGGAGGAGGAGGAGAAGGTGTTTAGTCGTGAGCGCTAGTCCTTGCCCTGGGACTCTACCTACCCCAGATGTGCCCTTGGCGGCGCAGCGGGTTGAGCATGCCCGGCCTGGGGGGACAGCTCCTGCACCCCCCCCCCCGAGCACAAGACACGGTACCGCGCCGCCGCCCGGCCCCGCCCGCGTCCGGAAACCGACGACGGCGACGACGGCGCTCGCGCCGGCGGCGATAGCGGCGGTTGCTGTTGTCGTTGTCGTCGTCGTCGTCGTCGACCTGCGCGTCCCCAAAACATCCGAGCTGCGCCATCCCGGGCCGGGCCTGCCCCCAGCCTTCCGCCGCGCGGGGCTACCCTCTCGCGCGGCCCGCGGCCACAGTCAGCCGGACGGGCGCGCGCGCGCCGTGCGGGGCGCCCTCGCTGGGCCGGCCCGGGGCGATGCAGTCAGTTGGGTGCTACTGGAGCGTGAAGGGGTCCCTGGGAAGAGGAGCCCTGCTCGGCAGCCCTTGGCACTCGACGTGCGCCGCAGGCACGGTGGCGGATAGAACAGGGAATGCACACAAAACATACATATCTATATATCTATATCTATATCTATATAGATATATATCTATTTATATATATATATATATATATCGAAATCTATGTATATATATAGCTATATATATCCATCTATATAGATATATCTCTATATATATATATATACCACCAAGACGGCCCCAAGACGGCCCAAGAGCGCCCCGGGACCGCTTAAGAGGCCTCGAAGACGGCCCAAGAGAGTCCCAACACGGCTCCAAGAAGGGGCCCAGACGCGGGATCCGAGCGCACTTTACGGGCCCTCGGCCCCAAGAGCATCCCCAGAAACCACTAGAGGCTCCCAAAGGCCCCCAAGAGCCCCCCGGGAGGCCCCCAAGAGCCCCCGAGCAGGCACCGAAACGAGCCCCATGCGATTTCGGACACTTTCATATGCACCCCTTCTTCCTTCCGATCCGTTCCGTTGAGCTGCCTGCATTGAGTAGCATGTGCATTGCATTTCAATTCAACAATAATGCTGTGAATCGCGCTGCATTTGCAACGTTTGGCGTTTGTTTTACTACTCGCATTGGTCTGCATGGCGTTGCATTCGATACGTCTGTGTGCGCCCTCGTGTGTACTACGGCCCTGTTCGGTCTGCGCCATTGTTACCTCTCCAGTTCATGCTCCTGCCATTGGTGGTTACGTGCACGCGTGCACATGTTAGCTTTGAGAGGATGGGGGCTGCTGGAACCTCAGCGCGCTCGAACTGCGCGTGTGGTGTTAGTTGGGGCCGAGGGTGCGAGCTTAGCGTGCACATGTTAGCTTTGAAAGGATGGGGGCTGCCGTTGTTTCTGTGGCCTCCTCGTCCTCCTCCGTCGGGACAGCCCATGTCTACTTAGCTGATCTCGGTGCCGACGCCCACTCCCTGACCACCCACTTTGATTGTTTCTTCATGATTATTTCTGAACATATATATATGTATATATATGTGTGTGTGTCGACTGTCTTTTATTTTTCGCCCAACATACGCCTGTAGGGGGACATGCCCGACCTAAGGAGACCATTGTTTTATTTCTGGGGGCATTGCATGTTACCCAGGGGGGGTGGGCGGCGTGGGGGGGGGGGGGGATAACCGTGACTGGGGCAGCGGCGCGCACCTCCTGAGGCGCGCCGCCTCCGTCGTCGTCGTCGTCGTCGTCGTCGTCGTCGTCGTTGTCGTCGTCTTCGTCGTCGTCGTCGTCGCCGCCCAAGCCAACAGCGCCTGTGCCCACAGCACGGGCTCTACAGTGCCTTTGTGCACCAGGGCTGCAACAGAAATCGTATGGGTGTGCACCACGGCGACTGCGTATACCATAACAACCGCGTGCACCACGACGCCTTTGTACATCGCGCGATCTGCGCACGCCAAGGCGCCTGCGTGCATCACAGCCGCTGTTTCAGCACCTCCTGTGCACCACAGCGCCTGCGCACACCGCAAAGTTTGTGTACGCCTGAAGGCAATACCGACGGGGCCAAGCTCCGGAAAATCGTCGGGGGCCCGAACGTATCAAAGTCAGTATGTATACGTATAACGGTGCACCGGGCTCTGGGGCCGAGGGCCGGAGCCTCGACCGCAAATGTGGGGACTGGGGCCCGGGCCCGCCTCTGAAATCGGCCTGGGGGCCCTGAGACGGCAATCCTTGCGGCCCCAGGCGGTCTCGAGACACCCCCAAGACGCCGTCCAGGCGTCCAGGGGTCTCCGGCGACGCACGATGCGTTTTGAACTGCCCCAGAGGCCCCCAAGACGCCCCAAGAGGCCTTGAAGATGCCGCCCAAGAGCGCCCCGAGAGGGCAAAATCGTTGATTATCAGGGGTTTGTTTGGATGTCTGTTGCATTCTCGCTGTTTCGTGTTTCTGGCGCTAGAGCACCGCCCAAGAGTTTCCCAAGACTGCTCCAAGACGACCCAGGAGGCCCCCAAGAGGGCCCCAAGACGGCCCAAGAGAGCCCCGAGACGGCCCCAGAGCCGCCCAAGACGGCGCAAGAGGGTCCCCAAGAGGGGCCCAAGAAGGCCCCAAGAGGGGCCCAACCAAGAGAGGGAACGCGAACTGAAAAGTCAAGCTTTCCGCCCCAAGATGCCCCCAAGAGGCCCCAAGGTGCCCCCAGGAAGCCCCCAAGAGGCCCCAAGCGGCCCCCAAGAGGCCCCCAGCGGCCCCCAAGAAGCCCAAGAGAGGCTCCAAGAGGCCCCAAGACGGCACCCAAAAGGCTTCAATTATCCCGGCAAAGCAACCTAACATCGATGTGTAGGAGCATATCTGGAAGCATTCCCCTTAAGATTCGGATGAGAATCCAGTTGTAGAATTCTGCTGTTCTCGCAGTCGTAGTCGCATTCGCGATGACAGTCGCAGTGGCAACGGCAGTCGCAGTCACAGCCTCAGCCTCAGCCTGCCTCAGCCTCAGCCTCAGCCTGCCTCAGCCTCAGCCTGCCTCAGCCTCAGCCTCAGCCTGCTTCAGCCTCAGCCTCAGTCTGCCTTCAGCCTCGGCCTCAGCCTCAGCCTGCCTCAGCCTCAGCCTGCATCAGCCTCAGCCTCAGCCTCAGCCTGCCTCAGCATAAGCCTGCCTCAGCCTCAGCCTCAGCCTCAGCCTCAGCCTCAGCCTCAGCCTGCTTCAGCCTCAGCCTCAGTCTGCCTTCAGCCTCGGCCTCAGCCTCAGCCTGCCTCAGCCTCAGCCTGCATCAGCTCAGCCTCAGCCTCAGCCTGCCTCAGCCTCAGCCTGCCTCAGCCTCAGCCTCAGCCTCAGCCTCAGCCTCAGCCTGCTTCAGCCTCAGCCTCAGCCTGCCTTCAGCCTGCCTCGGCCTCAGGCCTCAGCCCTGCCTCAGCCTCAGCCTGCCTCAGCCTCAGCCTGCATCAGCCTCAGCCTCAGCCTCAGCCTGCCTCAGCCTCAGCCTCAGTCTGCCTCAGCCTCCGCCTCAGCCTCAGCCTGCCGCAGCCTCAGCCTGCATCAGCCTCAGCCTTAGCCTCAGCCTGCCTCAGCCTCAGCCTGCTCAGCCTCAGCCTCAGCCTGCCTCAGCCTCAGCCTCAGCCTGCTTCAGCCTCAGCCTCAGTCTGCCTTCAGCCTCGGCCTCAGCCTCCGCCTGCCTCAGCCTCAGCCTGCATCAGGCCTCAGCCTCAGCCTCAGCCTGCCTCAGCCTCAGCCTGCCTCAGCCTCAGCCTCAGCCTGCCTTGCCTCAGCCTCAGCCTGCTTCAGCCTCAGCCTCAGTCTGCCTTCAGCCTCGGCCTCAGCCTCAGCCTCAGCCTGCCTCAGCCTCAGCCTGCATCAGCCTCAGCCTCAGCCTCAGCCTGCCTCAGCATCAGCCTGCCTCAGCCTCAGCCTGCCTCTGCCTCAGCCTCAGCCTGCTTCAGCCTCAGCCTCAGTCTGCCTTCAGCCTCGGCCTCAGCCTCAGCCTGCCTCAGCCTCAGCCTGCATCAGCCTCAGCCTCAGCCTCAGCCTGCAGCATCAGCCTGCCTCAGCCTCAGCCTCAGCCTCAGCCTCAGCCTGCTTCAGCCTCAGCCTCAGTCTGCCTTCAGCCTCGGCCTCAGCCTCAGCCTGCCTCAGCCTCAGCCTGCATCAGCCTCAGCCTCAGCCTCAGCCTGCCTCAGCATCTGCCTGCCTCAGCCTCAGCCTGCCTCAGCCTCAGCCTCAGCCTCAGCCTCAGCCTGCTTCAGCCAGCCTCAGCCAGCCTCAGCCTCAGCCTCAGCCTGCCTCAGCCTCAGCCTGCCTCAGCCTCAGCCTGCATCAGCCTCAGCCTCAGCCTCAGCCTGCCTCAGCATCAGCCTGCCTCAGCCTCAGCCTCAGCCTGCCTCAGCCTCAGCCTCAGCCTGCTTCAGCCTCAGCCTCAGTCTGCCTTCAGCCTCGGCCTCAGCCTCAGCCTGCCTCAGCCTCAGCCTGCCTCAGCCTCAGCATCAGCCTGCCTCAGCATTCAAAATGTGGCCCGGGAATGGAGTTCTGGAACTCGAAGAACACGAAGTGGCCTACAGTTGGCTCCGGGCATTCAAAATCATGCCCAGGAATGGAATTCTGGGAACTCGAAGATCACGAAGTGGCCTACAGTTGGCTCGGGGCATTCAAAATGTGGCCCGGGAATGGAGTTCTGGGAACTCGAAGAGCACGAAGTGGCCTACATTTGGCTCCGGGCATCCAAAATGTGACCCGGGAATGGAAGTGGCCCGGGAAATGGGAAGTCGAAGAGCACGAAGTGGCCTACAGTTGGCTCCGGGCATCCAAAATGTGGCCCGGGAATGGAGTTCTGGGAAGTCGAAGAGCACGAAGTGGCGTACAGTTGGCTCCGGGCATTCAGAATGTGGCCCGGGAATGGAGTTCTGGGAAATCGAAAAGCACGAAGTGTGTGACTGTATGCGAAAAACGATCCCCCCCGGCAAACCCCAACGGCCCCCCAACGGCTGCCCAGACCCCCTCTGTGGAGTAATGTGCTGCTCTTTTTTTAGCCCATTAGAAACCTATCAGTCTTCGATGTTAGGTAAAATTGTTTCTAAGAGGCCCCCGAACACATGCCAAGAAGGTCTCATGAGGACTTCAAGAAACAGTCCAGGATGCTCTGAGGAGGCCCCAAGAAGCTAGCTAGAACTTGAGCGCGCGCGAAGCGCGCGCGATAGTTCTAGTATATATATATATATCTGTTTAGATATATCGATATATTTATTATATATTATATATCGAAGCTATATATATAGCTATTATATCCTATATAGATATATCTCTATATATATATACTATATATATAGTTATATATATCTCGTTTTTTTATTTACACATAATATATAATCTATATATACATATATCTATCTATAAACATATATATATATATATATATATATGTATAGATATGTATATGTCGGCGGTGCCCCGTGGCACGAACCCCCCCCCCGCCTTCCCGGGGGTTTTCGTACAGGGCGCACCAGGGGGCCGCCGACGACCTGGAACCCACCATCTCCCTCTTTCCCGGGGGGTTTGTACCGGGCGCACCGGCCCCCCCCCTG